CGCTGGTGTCCCAGACGCTGGTGATCGCAGCCCCCAGCTGTGTGCAGACATGAAAGCCTGTGATTGAATGAGAAATCAGGCCTCACTGGAAGCGCTGAGCAGAAGTTAGAGAACTACGTCTGAAGAACTCAGGAAACGCATGTGTCAGACAAGGTAACTCATAAATATACCAAAAGAATATGCCTGCACAGATATCAGAATCTGATCAGATAAAACAGTTTAGGGAGTTCCTGGGAACCTACAATAAGCTTACAGAAATCTGCTTTTTGGACTGTGTTAAAGACTTCACAACAAGAGAAGTAAAGCCTGAAGAGATCACCTGTTCAGAACATTGCTTACAGAAAGTTAAAAATGACACAAAGAATATCCATGAGATTTTAGGAATACCATATTCAGCAGAACGAAGCCTGGCAGCTAAAGCAGGACTTCTCAGCCAGCCTCGATAGAGAAGTCCCAACGGATGAATTCTGAGTGGAGGTTGCCATAGCTGTTGCACTGGGAAAGAGGATCCATCTAGCGGAATCTCTGGAAGTGGTGGGCACTGTGTTAAAACATCTGTCACGACCATTTGGCAAATGGAAACCACTGGAAAAACAAAATTGTTGCTCACCAGAAATAATCAAAATAAAAGGCCTTATTCAGTGAAAATAATAAGATGCAAGATTTGTTGAGGCCTTGATTCAGCACCTTGTCATTTCATTAGAGAGATAAGCCATTGTTTTTTTTTTTAATTAATTAATTAATTAATTTTCTGGTACCGGGAATCGAACTTACGACCTCGCACTTGCCAGGCAGGCGCTGTGCTGCTGAGCTAAATCCCCAGCCCCTGCCATTGTTTCTTTAATCCTGACAGTTTTAAAGAAAAATATGTGTTCAATCATGCAAGAGAAAAAATTTATTATTGAAAGTGAAATAAATGGAAATATCACTGAGCAGTTGTTTGTAAAAAAAAGAGAGGAAATGTCGTTTTTGCTGAGTTTGTATAATATCACTGTCAGTCATTCCTTGAATGTTTGATAGAATTCATGAGTAAAAACATCTAATCTCTACTTTTTTACCTTTTCTCTTTCTTTTAAATGTTGAGACAGGGCCTTGCCATATTGTCCAGGCTTGAATTTTTGATCTTCCTGTCTCAGCCTCCCGTGTAGCTGGGATTACAGTTATGTGCCATTGTGCCTAATTTAACCTTGATTTCTGATGGAAATTTTTTTTTTTTGTTTTTGAGATGGTCTCGCTATGCAGTTCAGGCTGGCCTTGAGCTCACTTTGTAACCCAGGTTGTTCTTGAACTTGCAACGATCCTCCTGCCTCAGCATCCCAACTGCTGGGATTACAGGTGTGTGCCACCACTCTCGGCGGAAATGTTTTTGTTAATAAATTCATACTATTATTATTATTTTTCATTATTTTTAAAAATAAATTCTATTATGAATGAGGTCTGAGGATGTAGTTCATTGGTAGAAGATTTGCTTAGTGTGGGAGGTCCTGAATTCAATCCCTACCACTACACATACACAAACCAAATTATGTAACAAATACAGGGCATTCCAATTTTGCATTTCATCTGGACTCACTCTTTAAGTGACACTGTAGGTCCCCCTCCCCTTCTTTCTGTGTCCTTACAGAAAATGAGAGTGCCTTGCTCTTGAATGTTCTCAGGCACTGATGTAGGTGGGGTTTTTTTTGTACCGGGAATTGAATTTAGGACTTTGACCTTGGCAGTGGCAGGCACTGTGCAATTGAGCTATATCTCCGGCTGAAGCAAGTGTTTAATTTGCCCCCAAAACTCTGAAAAAACCTGGGGTGGCCTTGAGCCACAATGCCTTAAGCCCTCATACACCCATCCCTGACTCCTCACTGGGGCCAGACCAGGTGAGTATCCCTTTTCTCTTGGTGTCAGTTGTGAGGATGAACTCAGCACCCCAAGATCCCCTTAAAATGGGCTCTGGACAGAGCACCTGGTGAGCTGTGCTGCTTCTTTTGGAATCGCAGGTGGGCCCATCTCAGAGGCCCCTTTTGTACCATTTGATGATTTTTATGATATCAGAGTTGTACAACCATCAGTTATTGAATTAACACTCAAGCACTGATGCTAGGAAACACACAAACATCTTAGGAAGATTTCAGCCCACTCATTCTGTAGGTTCTGCTCTCTCCATATCACAAAAGCGAAAACATCCCTGGAGGGGCTGCCTGAGGCCTCCGGTCCAGCAGAACCAGGTCCCCAGAGTCCCTGCGCACCAGCTGCAGACTTGGACTGCAGCGCCCCCTGCTGTCTCCAGCTCGAACCTCGGGGGCAGAAAGAGCAGCCTGAAGGGGCATCCTGGTTCCTAGACTTTTTTCCAAAGCTTGTCTGTAAATGATGCGGAAAGAGAATATTGATTCAGATTACACATGAATCCTGGGGAGGAGGTGAACTGCAATAATCTGAAGGTACTGGGAACTATTTTCATTACCTGTCCCCCCAGTGGTCCCTCCCAGTTCAGCTCCAGCTGGAGGGCACTGTCTGTCCTTGCTTGCTCAGTGCCTAGTACGGAACAGCAGTTTGTTCACTTAGTAACCAGAGCCTTATGCATGCCAGGTAAGTCTCTACCGCAGCTATACCCTACCCCAACATGATTAAATTTTTGACTTAGTTGATCTCAGTTTTTTTTTTTTTTCTGATTATACATCTACTGGATATCCATTATAGGTAATTTGTAAAATTCAAGATAACTCCAGCATTTGGGAGGCTGAGGCAGGAGGATCAACTACAGTTTGCCAAAAGACAAAAAAATTTTTTTTGTCTTTTGGAGACAGGGTCTCACTATGCAGTTCAGGCTGGCCTTGAACTTACTTTGTAGTCCAAGCTGGCCTCAAACTTGCAGTAATCCACCCACCTCAGCCTCCTGAGAGCTGGGATTACAGGCATACGCCACCATGCCCAGAACCAATTTTCTCATTTTCAGAGGCAACTGCAGATCATCCCTTTGGTATTGTTCCTTCCAGGCCTTTGTCTCTCTGCAAAGCAAGTGGACCAGCTACCCCTGGTCGACCTCGCAGGCCAGGACAACTTCTGTCCACCACACCTACCTCTGGAGAGTTCAGGATTGTTGTGTGACTGCCCCCGTGTGGGAGGAAGCTGGACCCGAGCTGGTCCTGATAGAGCTCTGGGCAGTGGAACACTCTAGGGGGAAGGGACTCTGCCCAGCTCGACCCTCTCCTGGGCCAGTGTCCCGGACCCATGAGTGGGTGTGGATGAGTGGGCAGAATGTGTGAAGGCATGGCATCTTGAGGGCTGCTGGATACTCCAGTATGGGGAGATCAGAGGTGGCCACTAAGCATGGACATTTGTCACCTGTCTGGACACCCACCTTGCTGCCTCATACCATCTGCCAAGAGGATCAGGCTGGCTTCTCCCTGTTGTGCTGATTCCTGGGGCCCTGATGCCTGTCTCTTGGCCCCATTCCTGCTCCTGGGGTGCAGCTACCCCTCCTTGCTGTCCTTGACTCCCCATGGCCCAGGCTCGAAGGGGATGGCCAGTCTCCAAGGGGATGGCCAGTCTCCCTTGAGTACAAGCTGCAGGCTATCTCCATCCAGGAAGATGTTTGCATCCAAGTGGAAAATTCTGGTTCAGAAAGTTTCATAATCGTTAACAAATCAGGAGTGGCATGGAGCCGTCCCTTAGGTAAAATACCGCTCAGTAATCCTAAACGTGAATCAAAAAAGGAGAAACACCAAGGTCAGTTCACACACGCAACACTACCAGCCTCACAGCACGGCCCCCATATTGCTTTCTACTATCAGTGAGCAATGGCTCAGATCACAGTACCTCTCGACAGACTGAGGTGACGCACTCAACCTTACGCTCTTAGCGGCTTCATAAGCCACTCGAGAGCTTTACACACAGGAACTGTCCCTAGATGCCCTTCCACCTCTGTGAACTCGCTCTTGCCCGATCCCCCAGCTCAAGGAGAGTGTCCAAGGTTGGGGCCTGTGGGCAGCTGCAGCACAGGCCTGGGAAGGAGAGAAATCCAGAGGAAAACGAGGCCACGAATCCTGTGTCAGGCTGGGCACAACCTGAGCAGGGTGCTTGTGAATGCGCAGGGCTGGAGGCTGGTGGGCAAGGCACACAGCAGTCAGCCAGGTGTTGAACAATTCTCCTGCAGCTTTCAAATTGCTGCTTTCTCACTTCAGTCCTGCTGAAACTCATCATCTGCCCTCCATGGACCCAGGCCTGACACTCTCAGAGCCAGGGCGACTCCCTGGGTCCTGTAATGCTTGGTCCCAGTATTTGTGGGGTGTGATGTGGTGCTGGCCCGCAGAAGTCACCCCTACTCACTCTGGCCTGGCACTGCCTCTGTCCTCACATACAATGCTCCTTGCTCCTGGCAGGGCATCTGAGAAACTCCTTCAGGATGACAATACCCTAGATGGGAAACACCTTCTGTGGCCCTGCCTGCCCAGATCTGCAGCTTAGCAACATTAGACCCTGGAGCAGGCAGCTGCTGTCCTCACTGGCCCCACAGCAGACCAGGAGTTGTGGCTCATGGTCTGGCACTGGGAGAGGATCATGTAACTCAAATCACTGGCTGGGGCAAAGGTCAGCATCCTAAATGTGAAGGAGTTGCGTCCAGCAGTAAAGGATGCTTTTACATCACACAAGGTTCAACTGCTATTAAGTCAGTAGCATCGTACACACCTGTACCTGCACGCCCACATTTACACATCCTCCCTGCTCACCGCTCACAGCGCCACCATGGACACACAGACCTGAGCTCCCATGCGTGTGGCAGCTGTGCTGATGTAATATACCCTCTATGTTCCACGTGCTTGGAATCAGCACGACACTCAGGACCACCACTGGCAAGTTTCTGTAATCCCTGCAGAATGCCCTGGGGCCATCCCTGCCTATGCCTGCTCATGGTCTGGAGGCCCAAAGCTATGGGATGCAGGGCCCTGCTTCACTGTGGAGCTGTGTGACCAGGTGTCCCCGTGGACAACTAAGACAGGAGCCATTGCAAGAGTGACAAGGAAGCTTTTACTCACGTTCTGCAATATTGTGGGAAGGACAAAGGAAGAGGCTGTGCCCTGCACAGTGCCCAGAGAAGGAAGGTGGCTGTGTCCCCTTCCTAGGGGCCACCTTATGGACCCATGGGGGAAAATGGGAACAGGGAGGAGAAAGTCCTCAATGTGAGTCAGTGCGGGGGGGGGGGGGGGGGGAGTGGCCTGGAGGCCCCCAGGAAGGCCAGCTCTGCCTGAGGGCACACCGTAGGGCCAGTCCTGAAAGCTGTGCCCTGAGGGTGGCACGAGTCCCCAGGGAGTCCTCTCTCCCATTGGCTGGGGCCAGAGCCTACTCCCCTGCTTCCAGCCCTCAAGCACTGCCTCTGCAGGTGGGGAGGGCAGGACGTAGCACTGGGAGGCTGGCGTCAGTCTTGTAAGGGTCCCAGATGCTCTGGTGGAGACAGCTGAGTGGCAGCTCCACCCATGGCAATAGTGACACTGCTCTCTGGGCCTCCCTGGGGCCACCACACCCAGAGACTGGCTGAAAGCCCCAGCCCCCAGGCCCACTGCAGGGCCACGCTAGTCAGCCAGACCCCCTGTCTGGTGCCCACAGTGGCAGCCTGAGGAAGCTGGCCGAGCCAAGTCAGGATAGATGGGGTTGTGGGTCACCGTGAAGGGAGGTCACCCCGGTTCTGCATGAGACACCAGTCCGTGTCTGGGTAGAGAAGGCAGTGAACAGACTTAAACCTAGGACAGAAGGAGGAAATGGGGTCAAGGTTGTCCAGGTGGGGCTGACATCAGAGGCCCCGGCCCAACAGCCCATCACTACTTACCGTGTGGGGTCCTGCTGCAGGCTGAAGCCAGCCACATTCACCACATTGTGTGGGTTCTCCGGACCCCCATAGCTTAGGGTCACCTGGGAAGAGAAGGGGCTGGAGGGTGAGGGCCAGTGCTTTTCTTCCTCAAGAGCCTCTTCCTGGAGGAGACATTGCTCTCCTTCTTACCTTGGTGAGCAAGAGAGCCTCCCTTTACAAAGAAACCCCCATGAGATCAATGGGCATTTGCTCCTGAGGACACTACGCACAAGGTCCACATGGAAATTCCAAGGCTGAGACTACCTTGCCTCTGCGCCCAACTGTAAGCCCATGACGGAGCCCCACTTCTGGCGGAGCAGGGGTGCAAGGGCCTTGGCAGGCCATGTGCTGAGGCGCCAGGGAGCCAAGCCTACCTGCTGAAGCACAGTGTCTGTTGGCAGCCTCTGTAGGTTCTCCAGGTGGGAGTGGAAGAGGGGGCTGTGAAGCAGGTGGGCCCCCAGCAACCCTTCTACAATGTAGCCCACAGTGCAATCATCTGGCAGCCGTACCCTCTCAGCTGTGCTCATGAAGCTACCTAGGCTGGGGGAGAGGCTGGTCAGCGCCTCCCCGGCCCTTAGCTCCTAGCCTGGGCAGCAAGGCACCCACTCACCTGGCCCAGGGGCTCATCTTGAGGGCAAGGCCCCTGCTCAGGCAGAACCCGGCCCCACCGGTAGCAAACCAGAACTTGACTGTGGTGGCCTAGAAATGGGGGGAGCCCCTGTCACAGTGGCCCATGCCTGGGCTCCTCATCCCCTACCCTTCACTGGACCCAAGTGTCATCTGGAGGCCATCCCCAAGGAGAGCCTGTCAGGAAGGCCACCGGCCTGGCACTCACGGTCCCACCTCCCTGGACCCTCTCAGTGGCCTCTATGGGGTGGTCCAGGCTGGGTCGCCCCAGGTAGACATCCTGGTTGGGAGAAAAGGTGGACAACAGGTGCAGCAGGACGGAAGGGTTCACATAGTTGTCATCATCAACATGGCAGAACCACCTATGGGCAGGGACAGTCTTGTGTAAGGGGCCTGTGAGGTGGCTGGAGACCCCCCACCCTGGCCCAGACCCCCAGGGAACAGATGAGGCCAGCCTACTTTCGCCCAGACTCAATAAACTTGTCATACTCCACGGACATCTTGCAGCAGAGTGCCTGGCGGGTGCGCACTGCAGAGCAGTTTGTGTTGATGACACGGCTGCCTGGCCAGGTGGAGACACAGGAAAGTAAGGGTCCATGCTCAGCCTGCCCCTGAGGTCCATGCCAGCCCAGGTTCCCCTGCAGCTCTGGCTCAGCTGTCCCTTAGCTGACTGTCAGTGATTGAAGAGAATGACAGTCCCTTGGGACAAGAGCAGAGACAGGACCAAGGCAGACCAGCCCCACCAGGCCTGCACAGGAGGACTCTCTGCTGGGGCTTCCTGAGGGCCCTGACCAGAGGCCCTGGGAAGCGTGCAGGTGGCCAGGGAATCTGGGGTTGACTGCTGGGATGGAGCCCTGGCAGGGGCGACCTGGCTCGGGCCTGCGCTCGCTGTGTGACCCTCGGCCAGCGTGTCACTCTCCCTGCGCCCTGGTAACAGCTCGGTAGTGGCCCCTTTGTGGCGGGCACGACACCGGACCCGCAAGGCTGGGGCCCAGGCCTCACCTGCCTGCCGCTGGAGCTCAGGGTCGTCCCCGTCGGTGAAGATGAACGTCTGGGGAGAGAAACGTTTGTCAGGCGCCTTGGGGCGGCGGGCCTGGAGGGACCTGGGGCCTAGAGGGAGCAGGGGACCCGCGAGAGGGCGGGGGCACCTGCGGGAGGGCGCGCGAGATCCAGGTGCGCAGCAGCAGCCCCAGGCGTGGCCCGTGGTTCTTGCGGGTGGTCTTGACCGCGATGAAGATGTCGTCCGGCCGCAGGCTGGGGGCGGCGACGGCGGCGG